AACCAGAATATATAAATAAATAAATATGTATATTTATTTGGTTTTTATCTTTTTAGACCCAATTCTTTAACTTTTCGTATTTATATAAACAAATGTATGTATTTGATGTTTTTGTTGCACATTTAAGTCTAACTTCAACATTATATTTTAATATGTTATTCTATTTGATTCTACTTTTATGGACATTTTTATTGATTTTATTGAAGCACAAATTCCCCCGTAAAACATTATTTTAAATTAGATTTTCAAATATCTGATTATATATTAGATTATACTAACGTCTCGTTTGTTTTCATAATGATGACTTTATATCTGTGTGTGTGTGTGTGTGTGTGTGTGTGTGTGTGTGTGTGTGTGTGTGTGTGTGTGTGTGTGGTGTGTGTGTGTGTGTGTGTGTGTGTGTGTTTGTGTGTGTGTGTGTGTGTGTGTGTGTGTGTGATGTGAGGAATCGAGTCACATCATATTGTCACGTATAATAACATCTTGTATCTACGCTAAGGTTCTGTCTCTGTTTTGTTTTGAAGTGCTAGATGTTTTCATTTCAACAGCTGATAGTGCCGTAACGCAACTTTGAACCAAAACTGTTTAACTTCTTTACAGATATAATCCTATTAATTTTTGATTCATAAATGAATAAGGTGGAGTTCAAACTGTTAAATAATCTGCCAACAAAAACTATTATCAAAACGAGGAAGTGCAAACATGTAATTTCAGGGTTTAAGGAACCATTTATTTTTAATATCTAAACTAAATGCAGACGTGTTTCTCTGTGCTGCTGACAGGTGGAGACAGAGGAGTATTGTAATGATTTAGTACAGTATGTACTCGGCACACATTCCTCACATGCATGGCCACACACACACACACACACACACACACACACACACACACACACACACACACACACACACACACACACACACACACACACCCACGCCTCAGACTGTGCAGTGTACAGATGGAAACACACACACACACACTTACAGATAGTGATCATACACACATTAGGCCGACAGCCAAACACTGACCACTCTGCTTCCAAATCTCTCAGGGAATCTCAAACGATCCCCGAGCAGCTGAGAAACTGCACGTAGCACACTTTTATTTTTGAACGTCTCTCTTTGAAACATGCAGTAACACACGCTAAATATAATGAGTGGCAAGAGTTGATAAAGCAGGTCAAACAAGTTGAACTCAATTCAGTTTAATGTTGAAATTGTAAAGCAACTGTCTCTGTTTCAGAGTTAGTCGTCTCATAACTGTAAGTGTTTGTCAGTATATCTGAAATGACTAGGTTAGCTGTGTGCCTCACTCTTTAGTCAATCAATCAATCAATCAATCAATCAATCAATCAATCAATCAATGTTTATTTATATAGCCCAATATCACAAATGTTGCATTAGTCTCAGTGGACTTCACAGTTTGTACAGAATATCAGTGACAATACGACCCCCTCTGTCCTTAGACCCTCTGTCCTTAGACCCTCTGTCCTTAGACCCTCTGTCCTTACACCCTCTGTCCTTAGACCCTCTGTCTTTAGACCCTCTGTCCTTAGACCCTCTGTCCTTAGACCCTCTGTCCTTAGACCCTCTGTCCTTACACCCTCTGTCCTTAGACCCTCTGTATTTAGACCCTCTGTCCTTAGACCCTCTGTCCTTAGACCCTCTGTCCTTAGACCCTCACACCGTACAAGGAAACACTTCCAGAGAAACCCCACAGTTTAAAGGGGAACATGGGAGAAACCTCAGGGAGAGCAGCAGAGGAGGGATCCCTCTCCCAGGACGGACAGACGTGCAATAGATGCCGTGTGTAAATCGAAAAGATAATACATTTACAACATAGGTAGACCAAATGTTTGGAAATGCATGTGTCTATAATAAGAAGATGAATCCACGAGGATGTCAACAATCCTGTGGGAGCCATCAGGGAAGTAGTATGACGAGACCCAGGCAGGACCACAGAGACAGGTTCAGCCACGACTCAGGATCCCGGAGTAGATAGACACCAAAAAGAAATGTGGGGAAGCTGGGTTATTGGGAACATGAGAGTACACAGGTACAGACAGAGAGAAGGAAGAAGTGAGGTGTCCCCCGACAGTCTAAGCCTATAGCAGCTAAACTAACGTGTCTACGTACATGCACTCCCTTAGGATAGGGTCCCCTGGTCTCCCAGCTGTGTGCGTCACTCTTTAGTGTCCCCTGGTCTCCCAGCTGTGTGCGTCACTCTTTAGTGTCCCCTGGTCTCCCAGCTGTGTGCGTCACTCTTTAGTGTCCCCTGGTCTCCCAGCTGTGTGCGTCACTCTTAGTGTCCCCTGGTCTCCCAGCTGTGTGCGTCACTCTTTAGTGTCCCCTGGTCTCCCAGCTGTGTGCGTCACTCTTTAGTGTCCCCTGGTCTCCCAGCTGTGTGCGTCACTCTTTAGTGTCCCATGGTCTCCCAGCTGTGTGCGTCACTCTTTAGTGTCCCCTGGTCTCCCAGCTGTGTGCGTCACTCTTTAGTGTCCCCTGGTCTCCCAGCTGTGTGCGTCACTCTTTAGTGTCCCCTGGTCTCCCAGCTGTGTGCGTCACTCTTTAGTGTCCCCTGGTCTCCAGCTGTGTGCATCACTCTTTAGTGTCCCCTGGTCTCCCAGCTGTGTGCGTCACTCTTTAGTGTCCCCTGGTCTCCCAGCTGTGTGCGTCACTCTTTAGTGTCCCCTGGTCTCCCAGCTGTGTGCGTCACTCTTTAGTGTCCCCTGGTCTCCAGCTGTGTGCGTCACTCTTTAGTGTCCCCTGGTCTCCAGCTGTGTGCGTCACTCTTTAGTGTCCCCTGGTCTCCCAGCTGTGTGCGTCACTCTTTAGTGTCCCCTGGTCTCCAGCTGTGTGCGTCACTCTTTAGTGTCCCCTGGTCTCCCAGCTGTGTGCGTCACTCTTTAGTGTCCCCTGGTCTCCAGCTGTGTGCGTCACTCTTTAGTGTCCCCTGGTCTCCCAGCTGTGTGCGTCACTCTTTAGTGTCCCCTGGTCTCCAGCTGTGTGCGTCACTCTTTAGTGTCCCCTGGTCTCCCAGCTGTGTGCGTCACTCTTTAGTGTCCCCTGGTCTCCAGCTGTGTGCGTCACTCTTTAGTGTCCCCTGGTCTCCCAGCTGTGTGCGTCACTCTTTAGTGTCCCCTGGTCTCCCAGCTGTGTGCGTCACTCTTTAGTGTCCCCTGGTCTCCCTGCATGTCTCCTCAAGTTGCTGAATGTTCTCTAAAAGCTGAATGTGTTGTCAAGTTGCTGAAGATGTTTCTTCATGTGGAACCTTTGGGTTTTTATATCTGCATCCTTTCTGAAGCTGCTCCTCCTGATGGAAGAGTTCTGGTTCGTTGTTACGTTTGCACCTGTGGGCCACCGTAGTTTTTAGGTTTAGGGGACACAAGAAAACATTGAAAGAGTTGAACTTGTGGAGGGTTCATGTATTTATAAAAGGCCTGATGCGGTGTAATTACAGCTGCATTTATTATTTATGGAGTGCTCGTTTGATTTGATTTCTAACAGCTGTGACGGACGTCAGTGAACAATAGAGTGGTGATTAAATGAAACTGCACGACCTCTTCTTAAAGCTGCGTGTCAACGTGCATCATTTATTCCACGTATTTAAACTCAATTACGTCTGAAATTAGATTTTATTTCAGAAAATCAAATATCTTCATTGCACCATAAACTCCTATAATAACTCCCAGATAACCTTTTATTTGATCTCTCTGTTTGTTTCTCCTCTGCCGCGCTGTCAGTATTAATGTGAGTAATTGTTATTATTGATGCATGTCTGAGCAACGTGCTCTGCAAACAGAGAACATGCCAATTATATTTACAAGAAGTCAAGTGAAGCGAAACTAACCACAGAGGAGATTTCAGACACACAGATACGTGTTTGAGATAAACTACAGATATATACTTAGATACGGTCTAAAGGTATGTTGACGGTCAAATTCACAAACATATCATTATCTATTTTGTGGCTGCAGATGTGGATGAATGATGTGAAATCTAATCAAGTGTTAAATCAGACTTTAGTTCCACCTGGAGTAAATCCACAAGCTCCCCTGCAGTATACAAAGTCATTCAAACTAGCTGCACCTTTACCAGCTTTGAGAACACTTTCATGATCAATCATTATAAAACATATCATATATATTATTCTGAAATGGACCAATCTGCACAACGACTACTTTTACTGTCGCTACTTTCACTATATTTTGATGAGAATACTTTTCTACTTTCACTTGAGGAACATTTTGAATGCAGGACTTTGACTGTAACACAGTATTCCTACACTCTGGTACTTCTACTTTTACTGAAGTACAAGATCTGAGTACTTCTACTTTTACTCAAGTACAAGATCTGAGTACTTCTACTTTTAATCAAGTACAAGATCTGAGTACTTCTACTTTTACTCAAGAACAGGATCTGAGTACTTCTACTTTTACTCAATTACAAGATCTGAGTACTTCTACTTTTACTCAAGTACAAGATCTGAGTACTTCTACTTTTACTCAAGTACCAGATCTGAGTACTTCTACTTTTACTCAAGTACAAGACCTGAGTACTTCTACTTTCCCTCAAGTACAAGATCTGAGTACTTCTACTTTTACTCAAGAACAAGATCTGAGTACTTCTACTTTTAATCAAGTACAAGATCTGAGTACTTCTACTTTTACTCAAGAACAGGATCTGAGTACTTCTACTTTTACTCAATTACAAGATCTGAGTACTTCTACTTTTACTCAAGTACAAGATCTGAGTACTTCTACTTTTACTCAAGTACCAGATCTGAGTACTTCTACTTTTACTCAAGTACAAGACCTGAGTACTTCTACTTTCCCTCAAGTACAAGATCTGAGTACTTCTACTTTTACTCATGTACCAGATCTGAGTACTTCTACTTTTACTCAAGTACCAGATCTGAGTACTTCTACTTTTACTCAAGTACAAGATCTGAGTACTTCTACTTTTACTCAAGTACCAGATCTGAGTACTTCTACTTTTACTCAAGTACCAGATCTGAGTACTTCTACTTTTACTCAAGTACAGGATCTGAGTACTTCTACTTTTACTGAAGCACAAGACCTGAGTACTTCTACTTTGACTCAAGTACAAGATCTGAGTACTTCTCCCCTCTATATAAATAAAGTAGATGACCTCTAACCCCCCCTCTTCCTCTCCTCCTGCAGGTGAAGATCTGGTTCCAGAACAAACGGTCTAAATACAAGAAGATAATGAAGAACGGTCCATGTGGTCCTGAGGCGGGGGAGAACCTGGTCCCCCCACCCGCCCCCCCCTCGCTGTGGGACGTTAGCATGGCGGCTAAAGTAGCGCCGGGTCACTCTGCAGGGTACATGAACAATTTCTCCCACTGGTACCCCCCCCCCCACCCGCAGGACTCAATGCCCAGGACTCAGATGATGTGACAGGAAGCAGGGAAACACTTCTTCACTGCAAAGAACACTGACTTTAAAGCAGAGAAGTGACGCAACAAAACGGACTTGAGTTCATCTCTTCCTGGTCTGGAGGTCAATGGTTTTCTGAAGGTGTTTTTGGTTGTTTGTTATAGCCTAGCGTTAGCTTTTTACGTCAGAAATCATAAAGTGGTGTTAATATGTGGAGATGATCCTGCTGAACTAAACGTGTAAGAATCAGAAACGTTCGTTTGAAACAGAGATTATTTTCTGACATAATCCAAAATCACATGGAGGAATCCCATTGGACCAGAGAGATGATTCCTTCAGGGACCAACACAGAAATACGACATCCATAGCAGCACTATATTAAAGCATCATATAATTAACAAGGTAGCTAACTAGCCATCTGTCTGCCAGTTAGCTATGTTGCCTATTCAGCCATGCTTAAAAGCCAATGGAAAAATCCCATTGGCTTTTTGTGGAGGGAACCAGGGAGATGATGCCTTCAGGGTCCAATTCAGAAATACGACATCCTCCAGAGACGTTTGAGAATAAGCTACAACTTGGACTTTAATGCCGTCCCTGCGTCTCTCATTTTAGACTTTTCTTTTCAGGGTTTTTCCAGTGTCTTACCGTGGTAAATACGTAAGTGATTAACAACGGTGTTCCTCAGGGCGTCCTCATGGGACCCTTTTAGTTTGGTGAAAATCAGGTTTAGAGAACCAAAGATAAGACATTATTTTTAACTGTGTGTATTTTGGTACACTATAAAGAGTCCGTGCAGAAGCTCTGATTTTATAAACAAGTTGACATTTTGTACTCCCTTTTTAAACTTTTATAGTAAAAAGGCACTGAAAGGAAATGTTATATATTTTTTTTCATAGTCGTTAAATATCCCAAATAGTTCAAAGCCTTAAAGACCAAAGCCTTATGTGTGAAAATACATGAATATGTCCCTTTATATATTTTTATACTGAATTCTATTGAGTAAATTGTTCAGTTTTATCCCATAAAGATGACTTTGGAAGTTTTCGTGATAATTCAAGGGAAGTTAAATGCAGGGTTCAATTCATTCATTAATTTCAGTTCTTGTGATTTTTATTCTCTGATGGATTTTTGTTTTTCTTGCTGTCAGTTTTAAATGTTTCCAACATTTCCAGGAGTTTACAGTCTTATATATACGCCATAATTGTGATTTATTTAACAACATTTTGAAATACTCAATTGATATTCTGGTAACGATTGATCAGGACTTGCTCTGTTAATTGAAATAAATCAACTTTGATCTTTGCCACTATATTTCATTTTGTTTTTGGATCTTCAAACCAGATCAAATCTCATTTCTGCTTTAGTGCATTTTTTGTTTTAACCATTTTACAGAAGCTTGATGTCTCTCGAGGACCTTTAGGGAAAGAATATTATTATTATACATCTTAGCATCACATTGTTAATCCATTTCAACATTTCAACCCTTTTAAAAGCCAGTGTTTTTTGATAATTCAATCGTTTTAAACAAAAAAAGGAACAAAACAACTTTGGTTTTTAACGCTTTTAATTTGTTTGTGCAGTTCCAGATGTTCTTTACATTTCCCTCTCGTTACCTGAAAGGACAAAACCTACAGTTTATTAAAACAGCCAAGTTCAAGGTTCAAGGTTCTTTATTGTCAATCTGACATAGCTACAGAGTAATTATGCAGTTGAAAATCTTATGTCACAGGCTTCTCCAACAATGCAACATAATAACATAACATAATAACAATAAGAGCAAGAGCAATACAAAAATAGTAATAGTTATAAAAATGAAATAAAGTTATGATGTGGAATAGTGCAGTATGAGTCTATATACAAGTTATTGGAATGATATATATATATTAGGTATTAGATACATACTACTGAGTAGCAGTTGAATGTTTGATGTTGTTTCAACAGTTCAATTGTTTAACAGTCTCACTGCCCGCGGGAAGAAACTGTCTCCGAATCTTCTTGTCCTTGCCAGGATGCTGCGGTAACGTCTGCCAGACGGCAACAGAAAGAACAGTTTGTGGCTGGGGTGATGGGGGTCTTTGATAATCCGTAGTGATTTCTTCCTGAGCCGCTGGGAGTAAAGGTAAAGCCTTTTAATATACTACATTTACTTTAAGAAATGCTGTGAAATTCATGTACAATTCAGAGTTAATTTAGTTAAATATCCAAATAATTAAAATCGAGCAATAAAACCACATTTATCACAAAGACACGGCATCACATTAAAAGCTCGTCTGAACACGTGAGGTTTGGTCTGTGTTTTGAAGGTGGGGGGGGGGGGGGGGGGGGGGTCCAGTATTGGCGAGTCTAGAGTCGGTGGGGGCCCTCGGCAAAAATTCACTGGGGGCCCCTCGAACCAGCTTTTCATCACCACGCACAGTCGACAGCCCCCCCCCCCCCCCCCCCCCCCCCCGGAGCGGAGCAAGGCAACGGAACTTAAATAAGAAGCAGCATGTTACGGCGCGCTATGCATGGGGCCCCTTGAGGGGGTTTCCCGACTTGTCGTTGCAGTAAATTAAAGGGTGTTTCATGTTGTCGTTGCTGTGGACCTTCTTAATCTACTTTCTTTGGGGGCCCCCTTCTGGTCCGGGGGCCCAAGCAGTTGCCTGACAAAAACTACAAAATATTCATTCATTTTCAGAACTGTAACCCTCTAAATATTAACCCGTTTTTACATAATGCCATTTTGTTCTCTATAAAAGAGTCTTTATAAAAACCCTCTCCTGCTCAGTGTGGAGTCATTCTCTCCCGTCTCGCCAACACGTGGAGAGTCAGAGCGTCGTCTGTGATTTTATAAAATCACGGCGTCAATTACAGGCCGTTGGTTAATTAAAGCTTTACGGTCATTTTCTCTAATGATCCATCAGAGTAGATTCATGTGTTAAAATGAATACTTAAATAATGCATTAATACAGGATGTCAATACACAGTTTGTGCTTTCTCTCTAGGGTTCATTTAAATAACTCTTTATGGATATTATAAATGCAGAGCGGAGGTTTTTACTTCAATTTCCATTGTGCTTTTTTTTTCAGGACAGAAAAGGAAAGTTAGAATAAAGTGCATTTCAGTTTTAAAGGATCCCAGTGGCCAACAATTGCTTTCAGCAAACTTCAATGAAATAAAATGAAGTTTGTGTCTTTGTTTGTGTCTTTACCTGAAAAAAAGTCGTGCTTTTGACCCTCCCAGTTATTGAGAGCTGCAGGAGTGAGTCAGCATTTCAGCTGGAAGTCCATGTTTTTTACGGATTGCTCCAATATACTTTTTTGGTCATCTCCACGTGCTACATACACCCGTCAAATGTCATACATGTAGCACAGTCGCACATACAGTGGCTGTGTGCTAGGTGGCGCTGTTGAGCCATGCTGCCAAACCCTATTTGAAGTAGATTAGGTTTTACAAACACTTAAAGGCCTCAGAAACAGAAGAGGAATAAGGCCACATGTACAAAATATTTCTCAGAACTCAAAAAAATGTATTACTTTTGGTCAAATCTCTAAAAAAAGTTCACGTGGCTTTAATCGTCCTCCGTAAAGCGTGATTCATTCGGTAAAAAGGTAATAATTCCTACAATTCCTGACTGTTGTTGGTGCTTTGACTCTAAAGATGTCCTTTTAAGGGTTGAAATAGTTCCTTAAAAAATGCTAAATGGGGCTGAAATGTTTTCATGTCATAATGAACTGTTGGAGTCACCTGAACAGGAAGTGGCTTTGTGCGTAACGGAGGAACATTTAATCACGGTTAACATGCATTAACTCTCCTTCCTCTTTCAGTGAGACGGTTTGCTGAAGTGTCTTTAACAGGAAACATGGTGAGGAACATTCAGACACGAGATGAATGAGCGGGACATAGAGACGTCATTCAGAGGGACATGGACATCATTAAAAAAGCTGTTTAGTTTAGAGAACGGGAAGAAGTACACAGATCCTGAGCTTAACTAAAAGACCACATCCTTTTGTTCTTAAATACTCTATTTGAATGCAAAGTCTTGTATTGAATTTGTTATTTAAGTAAAGAAGCATCAACAGCTTGTACTTTAAATATAAAAAGTACTCAGTATGCAGAATAACTATGATGTTATACTACAGTGTTTAATATAACGTACTGACATGTTAGCCCCCGTAGCACTACAGCCTGAGTACAAACATGTGTGTCCTTAGATACTCACTTGAAGGCAAAGTATTGTATTAAAAAAATAGCAGCAACTTTAAATATAAAAAGTAGAAGCGCTCAGTATGTTACATTACAGCGTTTATTATAACATGGTAACATTTGAGCCCAGATAAGATCAGATCAGATGGAACTTTATTTCAGGCGTTTATAGTCAGAGTTAAAAACAGGTACAAAATAAAGATAAATTAGAATTGAAAAGAATAATAATAATACAAATAAAGTGATAAAGTAACTGTTTGAAACAGATATCACAGTAAAAAGTGGAGCATTTTAATGAACATGTTAAATATATTTACATTTAAGTGAGCAGACGTGAGTTCAGGTTGAAGTTTAGACTGTATTGTGCAGCATGATGGCTACGTGTGTGTGTGTGTGTGTGTGTGTGTGTGTGTGTGTGTGTGTGTGTGTGTGTGTGTGTGTGTGTGTGTGTGTGTGGTGTGTGTGTGTGTGTGTGTGTGTGTGTGTGTGTGTGTGTTGTGTGTTGTGTGTATGTGTGTGTGTGTGTGTGTGTGTGTGTGTGTGTGTGTGTGTGTGTGTGACAGGTTTATCACCAGTAGGTTAACACATAAGAGGAAACTGACTTGGTGTCGTGATGCAAACAATAATTAAACACACAGAAAACTATTTTAAGAAACTATAATAACATAAAGAAATATATTGATAAAACTAAATGTACTTTATAAATCCCTTATTGGGAAATGTTTCCATTGAAGCAGCATAAAACAAAACAAAGCATGAGACATGATATAATAAGAAATTAAGAGACTAGAAAAAACAATTCTAAAATAGAAACATCTCAAATAGAAATATAAATAAACCAGCGTTAGAGAGAAAGAAGAATATACACAGATGGCCGTGAAGATAACACATTTATAAACTGTCTGAAAAACAATGAGATCTGATGAGTTCATGTTTTTAATTATTACATTATTAGTTCATGTTTTCTCGTCCGTCTCCTCCGAGGATCAGAGAGCCTGAGGAGAGGTTCACGCCGTCTGTGACTGCAGACACCTCTATTAGCCTAATGAACTGATGGGGGGGGCACTGTCTGCCTCACACACACACACACACACACACACACACACACACACACACACACACACACACATACACATACACACACACACACACATATAAACACACACACACACACACACACACACACACACACTCACACACACACACACACACACACACACACACACACACACACACACTCACACACACACACACACACACACACACACACACACATACACACAGACACATACACACTCACACACACACACACACACACACACACACACACACACAGACACACACACGGAAACACACACACACACACACACACACACACCAGCGTAAAGTGTTTGGGTTTGGGGTCAGTTGCTTCATTTGAGGATATCATTCCAGATAAATAGAATACATGCTAATAAAATACACAATGTTCATTTAAACACAAGAAGTTAAAATGCACTAAACGGATCAAATGAAATCTAGATATACTGTACTATATAAACACATCAGAAGTTAAAGTAACAATGTGCACATTGTACTATTACATGCCTTGACTTGTGCAAGGTTATAATAAATATAGTTTATTGTAACCTCTGCTTTCTGATATTTAAACTGGAGATAATATATTCACTGTCCTCTGTGGATGAGAGAATGTGTTATACTTAATAAACTCTGAGTGTGTGGAAGATGGAAAGAGAGGACTAAAACCCACAAGCTGACGTGAGGACAGAAACTTAAAAACGATCAAATCTGAAGACTTCACGACTCGCTGCTGATGACGTTAGTGAGAGAGAAGAGAAACAGAACGAGAGGAAAAACGGATTAATTAGAACGGGTCGTAAACAGCAGGGGGTCGTTTTATATTTACCTGTTAACCAGGACCCCTGTGGAGCCAACTCACATCAACGCTCAGTCTGTGTGTGTGTGTGTGTGTGTGTGTGTGTGTGTGTGTGTGTGTGTGTGTGTGTGTGTGTGTGTGTGTGTGTGTGTGTGTGTGTGTGTGTGTGTGTGTGTGTGTGTGTGTGTGGTATGGTGTCATGCAATATATAACAGTCAGACCGATATACAGCAGCATGGTAGCGATAGTC